GTATGGATGTAAGTCAACAGAGCATGCATCTCCTCAGTCTATGTCCAATGTCTATATGGAGAAGAAAAAAGCTGCATATCAGAAAGCGTCTGGTGTTGGTCCGTCTCAGGCAAGAAGCAAAGACAATAATTCTTTGGGTAAGAAACCAATGGAGCCCCGGGAGTGTACTACAAACTGTTTCATCAGCATGATTTTCAGGGCATGAGGTATCCTTGCCAGCATACAATGGATGAGCTGGCTATCTCTGATGATGTCGAGTATATGTTCGAGCACAGTCATCTCCGCACACTCATGATTAGTGCGCGCAACGCATACAAGGAGGAGACCATACAATTCCTCTATACGCTTGGTATACACCTTTATGAGAATTATCCGGACACTAAATCAGATGGCGGATTGGGATACATCACTTTCACTATCCATGATCATGAGTACTTCCTGACCATCAGAGAGCTGGAAGGTTTGTTTGGATTCCCTAATGGAACAGGGACTGGGCAGAATATTGATAGGGATGAGTTGTTGGCTCTTTGGGAAACAATTGGGAATGAGAAGAAGTTTGCTTCATCTAGGACCAAGAGCAACCACATCAGAAGTCCAGTTATCCGCTACTTCCATCAATCAATTGCAAAGATGTTCTTCGCGAGGGAGACAACAGGACACTGATCAACGGGGAGCTGGAGATGATTGATCTCGCACTCAAGGATCTCTTGTTAACTGCAGCAGACGAGACACTACTGCAAGGTGATACAACTGATACATCACCCTCATTAACTTTGTTGCACCAGCTACTCAGTTATAGAACTTGGGTAGTGAAGCTGAGCAGTTGCAGAACTCAGCAGACGGGACACTACTGCGAAGGAAGAAACATTGAGTTTGTACCTCCTGCAGAGGCTCTCTACACAACAGATGGTGAGGAAGCGATGGAGATATCTGAGAAAGAGGATGATCAGATGGAAGAGGATTCAGATGAGTACAGGCCAGAGAGGTATCACTTCAAGGACGACACAGCGCCTAGACAAGGCAAGAGCTTGGTAGAGGTTCACAAGCGCATCAGTACACTGTAGAAATGGAACATGCTACAAGACAAGGCCATAAGATCTATGAAGTCGAAGATGAAGAGCTTGATGAGTAAGTTCACCTGCGCCTCCACCACCACAACATTTGTAGATACTATTCCGCAGGATGCCAAACCAGTTCAACGCCGTTTGTCCACGAGTGATGTCCCAGCACGCTACAGAACTCCTTCTCCATCACGTCATTCAGCCTATGAGTATAGAGAGCATAACGTTTCTTCCTCTCCTCCGAGACAGTCTTCCCATGAGCTCAAGGATAGCAAGAAGAAGGAGAAAAGGAAAAAGAAGAAGGCAGTAAGACGGAAGGTAAAAGCTAGTTCATCAAACTTGCAAGACGAGCATCACGTTGAGGATTTGACCATGGATCAAACTGAGGATCACATTGAGGACCTGACTGTCGATCCAAGTGCGCATCATTTCAAAGACCTTACTGAGGATCCGGTCGAGTAGAACGTTGAGCAACCAGCAGAGGCTCCTCCTACGCAGCCTGCACCAGCTGCTTATACAAGCGAGTCAATGACCATTCCAAACCTTCATCTATATATACCATTGCATTTTCATACTTTTGTTTATTTGATTCTCAAACTAGCTCTCAAATTTTTATTACACAAGAGACTATGTAATTTGAGTTTGGGGGAGGGTTTGGGATGAAATTTGATGTTGTCTTCTCTTTTTTTATTTCGAATTTTTAGCATATAATCTGCATTCATATATGTGCATTGAAAACCCCTACATATTTGAAAAAATTTCAGAAATTTTTTTTAAAAAACAGAGTGCTCATGTAGCCTGCATTTGCATATTAAGATTGAGTCTAGATTGTTTCATGTAGGACTGTTGCATTAGCATAGGAGGCGATGATGATTTACACCTTGTTAGCTTGCTATGATTCACTAGGTGAGATCAATGCCCTGGTTTTTAGCTCTTTGATGCATGATGATTGAACTTGAAGTAAGTCTGAAACAAACTTGGGATTCATGAAGAGCATTCTTGAACTTGGTTGAAACATGTTGTGATATGATTTCATTCCTTACCTTATAAGAACTTAATCTTGACTTGCAAATATCTGGCTGTGTTTTGCTTGCTTACATGATCACCATATACATATTTGGATCATCTTCCTCCTTTCACCACTCTTGTTGATTCAAGTAGCTGATCTTTCTTTTGATCAGTTTGCCATACCCACAGCCTATCCTTTTCTTTCAAGCTAGTTGATAATTTTTGAGTGGTCTTTTACCAGATTATGCTTGGGGAGAACGTGTTAGATATAAGCCGACATGATTAAAGTCTTCAGTAGTTCTGTTTTTCACTTTCAAATCAGATAGGACTAGGTCGGGATTCTTACTTGGGTTTGGGATTGGAATGATTGTGGAAAGAAAGAAGAGAAACAGAAAATAAAAAGGTTGTGTCCTTAGGAGGAGAATGTTTTTCAAGAAGTTTATACTCTAGTGATTGATTTTTGTGGGGATAGCATGTTATGCAGAGAATGGTTCTGGGATGAAAAGGAAGAGAAAAAGTTTTGATGTCTTATGTCTCAAGAAGGATATTGAACCATAGTAAGAAAAAAAAACCCTCTCCACTAGTATTGGTAAGAAACTTCTCCTAAGGCAAGAAAAAGGAAAAAAATGGGAATGATGTTTAAGGGTAGAACATAGGGATCATTCGGGTTTAGATGATTATGAGTAAGCACTTGGGAACCATTGGGTAGTCAAGGTTTTATTCCTGTATGCATTTGTTGGTCCTCACCTTTAGCATTCTACCTAGAGCTCAATCCATTCATTGAGAGATCCTTGTCATGAAATTGTTTAAACCCTCTTGATTCTCAAAACCTTTTTCTGCCTAGCCAAGTGAGTCTTCAAGCTTTGCACAACCAGATTAATATTCTTGAATAATGAATGTTAAAAGGAATGAATGATTTAAATGCATGTGTAGGTCAAGGGATAGGATCAGTTTCGGATTTGATGAGTTTGTCTAAAGTCTTTAAGTAAAGTTCTCTCAGCATGCATCGAAGACTTAGTAACCAGGACATTGATTTTAATTTCTCTATCTTGCAAGTTACAGGTTCCGAGACCCCATTTTCAAACCTCTCTTCCACTTTGTTTCTTGTTGCTTTGCTTGAGGGCAAGCAAATACTAAGTCTGCATTTCATCACTTTTTAAGCATGTATTCATCATCTTTTCAGCATCATTCACTTGTTGATTTGCATCATATTGATCACTTTTTGCATGTTTTGCATACTTAGGTAGGTTTTGTGCATATCATGCATGTCTTGCATACATTCTGCATATTTTGAGTGTTTCGGGTACTTAGGAGACATGCAGAGCAAAGCAGAGGAACAATCGTTACTCGACATGCATATGATCGAGGGGGACGATCGAGTGAGAAGCAAAGATACGTTGCAGAAACATACTTCACTCGATGCACATGATCAAGTTGGGTGATCGAGTAGCGGATCTAGAGGCTGATCGAGTAGGATGATATAGTGAACCGAGGAACAGAATCAACTGTCACTCGATGGGCATACTCAAGTGACAGGATCGAGCAAAGCAGAAGAGTAGCAGATGATTTCACAGATCACTCGATACGCTCACTCGAGATACATGGTCGAGTATGTAATGATGCAGAGAAGAAATTATGTGTTACTCGACGCGCTCACTCGACCGACAGGATCACTACAACTTTTAAAGCGCTTTTTACTTTGTCGTTTTATGTTTTAAGTTTTGCCTAAATATTGGTATAAAAAGGTCCCTTTTGGCATTTCCCAGGGGATCGAGTTTTTACCCTTAGGTTTTTGTTGTTAGCCACCAAACAATCCAGAAAATTGTAGTTGAGATTTCTTTTAAGTTATTAAGATTTTTCACTTAGTTCTTTGATCATTTTTGTTTACCTTCCCGTCTTCTTTATTATTATGCATGTTTTGAAGGATTTTGGGTTTATGATGTTTAACATGATTTCTGTGTCTGAGTAGTGTTAGGATTCTTGAGGATGGGATAGATTAGGTGGAGAATGTTAGTTTGCTAGAGTGTTTAAGTTAGATTCGTTTGTTCCCTTCTGGATTAGTGTATCCATAGCTAATTCTTCTCTGATCAAGTGGAATTAGATCCCAGACATTTCAGCACCTACCAAGTTTTTGTTTTATACACTTACTATTTACTTTTTCTGTTCTGTCTTCTTGCTAGTATCGATAATCATTACGTTTTAATTTATGCATAATAGTGTATGTTTTGCAGCCTTACATTTATCGCATGTTTAACATGTTCGCTTAGGATCATTGGAAACCAAAATCATTTATACTTTGCTTGACTTAATCATTTCTGATATATCTTGATTGCTAGCATCACACTTGACTGGACTGATACCTATTGTGCTACAATGACATGATAGTACTCTAGGGTAATTAGTAGTAAAAACCTAGTATCAATTTGGAGCAGCTGCCATTTGGGTGTTTGTTTGTTACATTTGAGATTTCAGACTTGTTGAGATCAAGTTGTTACTCAACATTCACTACAGTTACTTACTCTGTTCTTTTTGCTTGCCTATTGATTCAGGTACAACTCTTGCTCAACTGCTCCTACTTGACTGACACACTCAACCGTCTCAAGATCTAAGTTGATTGAGTTGTATGCACACACTCAACTATCTCGCGATCTAAGTTGATTTGAGTTGTATTCACACATGGTCGCAAGGTACATAGAACTTGTTCTAGCCCTCCGACTTTATTGATCGCTTGGTACGT